CGTAGAACCCAAATAGTACATTTTTCCAGTATAGCATAAAGTCAGAGTCAATGTGTTCAATAATAAATCTGGACACAACTTTCCAAAATGTGTTGGTATACGGGCATTGCCAGAACAAGTGAACCATTGTTTCAGGGTACATTACACAAAATGAACAATTAACAGAGATGTCTTTCTTGAACCTAAGAAGATAATGCTTGGTGGGATAGTATTTGTGTATCATTTTAATTAAAAGAGATTTCTCTTACTTTATTAGTCAGGAGGTATTTGTATGGGAGAGACCAGATTTTTCCCCAGTGTAGATTATCAACAAAACCAGACCAGTAAGTAATAATAGGTGGGGTTGTTGAAATATCTTTTTGAAACAGCGAAAATATGTTACGGTTGTTATTTCTGACTGATGTTGACGTAAAACAGGATTTGCCCATAGCAGTCATTTTGGGGTCCAGGCTTGGTGTGGAGGTTGTTCTGTCAACCCCTTTCAAGAGGGTCAAGATTCCAGAAGGAATAGCATCCATGACTGTAACAAATTCCTTTGAGGTGACAGGTAGGTTAAATTTATTTAAAAATTCAGAGTAACTTAAAAGAAAACCTTGATTATTGATTAACTGATTGACCAGGATTATTTTATTCTTGAACCAATTAGGGAGAAAGAATGATCTATTCTTGTATAAGATGTAACGGCTATTCCAAATGAAGCATTTATGAGGGGGGAAATTATGTTTATATATCAAAGACCAAGCCAAAAGTATTTGTTTGTGGAAAATGGATAAAGCCAAAGGAATTTTTTCTATCTTGTAATCACATAAAAGTACAAAGTTAAGACCACCAAGTTGAGAAATATATAGTTAGGTATAAAGTTCCAAATAGAAGAGGGATTACCCAAAAATTGTTTGATCCAAATGATTTTAAACGTATTATTGAGGGTAGAAAAGTCCAGGAAGTTCAATGCACCAGTTTTGTAGGTATTCATAACAACAGACCTTTTCACATAATGAGTCTTGGTTCTCCATAAGAAGTCGAAAAGCATCTTATTGATATTTTTACAAATTTTCTCATTCGCAAACAAAGAGATTGCTGCATACGTAAGACATGACAGTCCTTCCGCCTTGGTTATCAGCGTACGTCCTTTTAAAGAAAGATCTCTACCTAGCCACTGGTTAAGCTTAGCCTGGGTTTTGTTAATAATTGGGTTAAAGTTCGCTGTACATCGCATGGCCTCATTTTTCACGATGGTAATCCCTAGATAGGTAACCTTTTCTTTAATTGGGATGTTGCAGACCGAAGTCTCGTTCCAATCATGGATAGGGAACAGTTCACATTTGTTCAGATTTAGGTGGAGACCAGAGGCCGCTGAGAACAGTTCGACTGCTTTAATCGCAACAGAGACTTGGCTAGAGTTCTTTAGAAATAAGGTAGAGTAAGGTCATCCGCAAGCTGACCAATCAGTATTTCTCTGCCCGCAATTGATATCCATTGGATAGCACTTCTTTTGATATGACAGGTGAGAAGTTGAGTACACAATAGAAACAGAAATGGTGAGGCCGGACAGCCTTGGCGCATTCTTCTTCTTCTTCTTCTTCTTCTTCTTCTTCTTCTTCTTCTTCTTCTATGTCATCGTTTTCTATTTTTTCAATTTTTATTATAGCAAAACAAATCAGGTACAGGGTCGTATGATATTTTCATATTTGAAACATGAAATAACAGTATATTACTGAACTACACAGAACAACAACGACAATGTCCTATTTTTTCTTATTATTCGTTGTCGTCATTTTTAAGAATCTTTATTATAACAAAAAAAAAAGTACAGGACATGATACTCTGTTCATTAAATGAACATCTTCGAAACATGAAATAACAGTATACTACTGTACAACACAGAGAACATCAACAATGCCACGGTTTCATATACGTTCCAATGAATTGAAAGTTTTAAAAGTATTTATAGTTTTCAGAGCTTTTTTTGTTATTCGAATTATTTAAAAGTTTAAAATAGGAAATAGTATTGGTGTAAAAGTGTGAAAAGGTGGATTCCTAATCCCCATACTTGCATTGATGAATAAAAAAATAGCCATAAGTATTAGCACATTCATTATGAAAAAGCATCTTCATGCACATACTTGCTTAAAAAAAAACTAATTAAAAATAATAATGACTTGCCATTTTAAAGAGAAGTCTTTGTAAAGAAACATACTGGCAAATTTACCAAAATCTTTCCAAAATGTCTGAGGGTATGAGCAGATCCAGAAGAGGCGTTGAACTATCTGTGGGTGGCTTCCACAGAAACAGCAGTTTACAATGTCTCTTTTAAAGTTAGTCACATAATGGTTAATATTTATGTAATATTTTAAAAGTTACTTTCTTCACCTTGTTAGTGAGCAAGTACGTATTTGGGATAGACAGGACCTTTTTCCAGCAGATATCAGTTACAAAGCAGTTCCAAGATGACACAACATGCGGAATGGAGACATTTCTCCTGAAACAGTCACCATCTTTTTTTTTTCCAGATAAAGGTTTATTTAGGAAAGTTAATAAAGCCAGTAACCTACACTACGAAAACATTGTAAAGAGCACACAAATAAAGGCTTTTGACATTTGTGGATTGTTCAGTAGTTTAATATATTGTTTGATCAGATTTGCAAATATTGCAAATTATTATGATGAATGATAACATTCTTTTTTACTCACAGATGAGTAGTACTACACAATTCTAAGTGTTTCTTATTTGTTTCATTGATTTTGGAATCGCCCACTTTCTAATAAATTACGAAAATGTATTTATAATTGCAGATTTGTGTGGAAGCACACCTTTACTCTTGCTTTGAGCGTATATTTATTGGCCTCATTTGTGGTAATAGCTGTTATGCTTTTACTTTGAAAGCACCTAACAGTATGTATGCGGGCTAAATGTCGTTAAGTTAGGAGACCTAGGGTAACGTGTTGCGGCTCCTGCTAAGTTAGGTTGACAATAAAATGTTGCCTGCTCAAAACCGACTGCATCTTATTTACCCACATTACGACATCATTGCCTATCCACTTGTGTCAAAAAGAAAAAAAAATACTATTATAATTTATTTAATTAGAGTTTTTGAAACATTATCTTCTAAAATCTTGAGCTTGAAACTTGAGCGTCTTCGTGTGGTCCCTCAACTATTTCTGTATCCTGTTCCTTTAAATGTTGCTGCAGTAAGGATTTGTGGGTAATATACGTTCGTAAAGGTTGCTCGAGTGGAATCCTTTGCTAAAGAAGGTTTCAAGATTAGATCCAGGCACCTTTCCTAATAAAGAATTCGAACGCGCTTATCGGCCAACTACTTCCGGGTCACCTCGCTCGGGTAGGACACGAAAGGAAATTCATTTGCATAAACGAGAATTCGAAGGCCCACTGAGTTGACACGTTTGTTAATTTGTAGTATATAATATTTCCTTTTTACCACCTTTGAAAAGATGAACACCGTTTTGTCAAGAGCTAACTCCCTTTTCGCATTCTCTCTGAGCGTCATGGCGGCCTTAACTTTTGGCTGTTTCATCACAACAGCCTTTAAAGACAGAACAGTTCCTGTGGACGTCCGTGTCTCTAAAGTCATGCTGTAAGATTCTTTGAATTCATCCTTTTTTTTCGAGATCTGTGACAAGATTCCGCTCGGCTTTTGTCAGATTGTACTGTGTTCTCAAACATAGGCGTGAGTGGAGAAATTTTAATGTTGCAATTGACCGCATTGCTGACAGACTCTGCTAGGGAATGCTTCATCTATAAATTCAACAGCATTCGCAGCACCGAATAATCAATGCGAAATAAACCCCTGGCGACTATTTGCCGTAAATATTGCTTGTCCAGGGAGTGAAACCATTGGTTTTTGGATTCAATGAGATGCTGCATATGAGACTGATGTTCAGCCAGGAATATCCGCTTTGCGTTTACAAGGGCTGGTGTTTAAAGTGTAGCGACGCCACTCGAGTGAAGCGCGACTCAGCAGTCGGTAGTCCGCTGCTCCCCGCTGTGCGTGCATCAACAAGGACGTGTACGCACGCATGTCTTTTTGGCTTCAACCAATCAGTGCTGACGCAACGGACTTTACACAGCAAAGAGCTTTGATCGACAACAACAGCTAAGCTAGCCGAGTCACGAAAACAGCACTAACATAATAAAATAAAATAAAAACGCAGTGGTTATTTTTCCGTGACCGGGAATTCGCCACCGAGCATTTGCCGTGAATCGTGTGCGAACTTTAAGCACAAATTCTGCGCAGGTGAGGGAGTAGTGGGTGGAACGGTCTCACGGAACGTGACATTTTATTCCACTGCGTCACGGCTTCAAATGCCGCTCTGTACCTTTTTATCTTATTCATTTTTATTATTTTTGTACTATGTTTCCATTTTCTGCAGCCAGTCGGGAGATGTAAAAGAAGTTTGGTCGAATGTGTTTGTTGAATACAGTATTTGAACCGTTATGCAGGTGAACAATGTAGTAAATAAAAAAAAATAATTAGTAAAAGGATTAGTCCTCACAAAATAAAAGGTTATGATTAGGGCAAGCATAAGCAAGTGTAAATGAGGGCTTTATGATAAAACAGAAGTAAACTTAATTTTAAAATTTAGGTTGGCGTTAGAATTTTGAAAAGTTCTACAGTTTAATCTGTCCCTACCCCTCTCTCTCTCTCTCTCTCTCTCTCTCTCTCTCTCGCACACACACACACACACAGCTGGAATCAGAAGCAAGTTAATGTGGAAGCCAGTTGAACTGTAACAAGGCATGACTATGTTTAACCCTTATATTATGTTAAGGGTCAATTTGACCCATTTCAGTTTTTTTGTTGACCAAACCACTGAATTTCCTTTCGTTTTCTTCGTGAAATTTATTGACTTTTCCTCATCTAGGGTCATGAACTGGTGTGTAAAATCTGGACACTCTGATGTGTAGTGGGATGTCTGTGCACAGTTTGAATACAAATATGATGTTGGGGGTCATTTTGACTTAGGCACTTTAATGTGGGCAAGCAGCTTTTCAGAATTGAGCTCCAGAAAATTTACAGCTGAAGAAGCTTCATCACAGAGTTCGAACGGGGATAGTGATGCAGAGGAAGATATTTCAGAGACAGAGGATCTTTCTGGCAAGTATGGCATCAAAATGTGGGCAGCCTGTGATGCAAAATCTAGTTTTGCATGGAATATGCAAGTGCATACTGGAAAGCTACCTGGAGGAGCATCTGAGAAGATTCAGATGATGCGTGTGGTCCTGAAGATGAGTGAAGGACTGCAAAGTCAAAACTTCTTTACAATGTACGGCCTTGGAGATGAAGTTCAGGAGAGAAAGCTGACTATGTTGGCAACAGTCATAAGAAATAAGACAGAAATTCCCGGTGAAATTCTGAAGATGCAGGGCAGACGTCTCAATTCCTCAGTATTTGTTTTCACTGAAAAAACAGCAGTTGTTTCATACTGCCCGAAGAAAATAAAAATGTTCTCGTAATGAGCACAATGCACACAGATGCATCTCTGAGCACAAGAGAAGACATGAAGCCACAAATGATCCTGGACGACAACTCCACCAAAGGGGGACTTGACAATCTGACAGCACACATACAACTGCCAGTACAACATAATACTGCCAGTGCAATACTTTCTAGATAAAACACTGAAATTCTCAGAAAACTTAAATGAAAAAAAAAACGTAACAGGGAAAACATTGAACTAAACAAGTCTTAAATATACTGTTGGGATAAAAAATCTGTTGTCTGTCTCTTTTCTAAATGTTTACATCATCTTAAACAAAGTTGTTACTGGTGTAACCTGTTTTTTTGACTATTTTGTGTGGATTTTTACAGTACGGGTCAAAATGACCCACAACATAATCAATGTGATTTTTTTCAACATAATATGAGGGTTAAGATTGTTGCATTTTCTTAATAACAGAAACCTGGCCTCACGCTCAGATTTCCGACATTTCAGTGCAGCTGTACTTGAGACTAACTGCAGCACAAAATGAAGTTTTATCACCAGTTTATGATGTCCAGTAGTGTGCAGACTCGTGGGGATAAGTAGTTTAGTAAATAGATGTATGGATAACAAACAATGACACAGCACCTTGTTACCATTGAAATAGAAATTAATAATTGTTGGAATACAAACGGCCATAGCTTGTTGAAGTGTAGCTGTGGTGAGTGATATTTTTAATCAGTTTTTATTTTGGTCTTTGAAAATGACCATCAGCGCTGACAATTTTGTGGTCTTGCATTTATTTATAAATCTGTGCACATGTATGTGTTTCCAATGTGTATTGTTGAAATGTCACAGCTAAGTCTATAATGTTGAGTGATTTCGTGATTTATTCTTGGAAGTATTAATGTTATACTGTATATACATACACAATACTATGACGGTTGTTGTGCAGTTGGTGCAGATAATCATTGCACCATTAAGTAGTAATTGTAGTTCAAGTTAAGTTGTGGAGTGATGCAGAAAGTCCTTTAGCGCTTTCAAATATTTGGTGCTGTGCAATATTGATCAACGACAATTGTTCCTGTATGGAGAGAGTTGGAGCTACAATGGTCAGTGCTGCAATACTATCCCGCAGTGAAAAAAACAAAAACAATAGGGACCCTGTAGCGTTCACTGCTGTGGCCCAAATAATAATTTCTTCAAAAACAATATGGACCTCACAACACTTTCGCTGTTCAGGCCCTAAGAATTTCGACAAAAACAATAGAGACCTCGCAGCAGTTGGTGTTCAGGCCCTAATTATTCATGTATTGTTTTGTTTTGGTCAAGCTTTGTGATGATAATATATATATATATA